GTAAAGAGTGAATATAAAACCAGTGATCCACCCACACAGATTTACAAGTAGAAGATTAAAATTCACCTGTAGAGCTTCAGCAACTAAGAAAACGGATTTACGAGAAGAGAATGAAAATGCCAGTATTGCCCAACTTTTGCAGATTAAGACCTTCATTTTGCCTCTGACGGGCCAAAGTTTGGGTCCCTTAACACAAATGCTGAATACACTCAACTAAACACTAGAAAGTCAGAGAAAGAAAATGAGTACATATTAACATCTATAGTGAGTAAGCAGTATGCTCCAAATACTTCTATACGAATAACATGCAACTAACGAGATATTTTAATAAACTCTCACTTTTTAGTAAAACTGTTTCAGTTCACTACACACATACACACACCTTACAAAAAGTCTACTTGATGTTAAGCCTCTATAAACATTTATAAAGAAACTACTCTGAGGAACCAACAACAGAAAAGAAATAGTTTTCTTAGTAAAATTTGAAACCAGTCCTTCTGCTTTCATCCTGGAATGTGGTTTCAAAATCACTCATTTATTTTAGTTCTTCAATGTTCACAAATCCATAAAATCAAGTATTTATTAGATATTATCAGAGAAAGCTGCAACAAGTAAATATTCATTGTGTGTGTGTGTGTGTGTGTATGAATTCTTGATTAGAAAATATATATCTAATCCAATCTCTCTTTTTTTCTTTCTTTTCTTATAAAATGCTGTCCAATATATTTTTAAATTTAACTTATCAAGAAAACTTGGGATCTGATTCTGTTATAGAATAGTGAGCCAAAACATGGTGACCAGCAATATGTGGCAAGTATGACAGCTACTGTCTCATAACAACTTCCCATTTCAGTATCAAGAGTACACAAGCAGGTAAGCTGGCTTTGACTATTTTATTTCAGTGTGTTGACAGCCAATCATGGACAAAAAGAAAGATTTGAATGATTTTTATAAAGGCTAAATTGTGATAGCCAGAAGACTATGTTAGAACATTTCCAAAACAGCATGACTTGTAGGGTGCATTTGGTGATTAACCCAAAGAGGAAAATAATCACAAACCACCAACAAGTTATTGGACATCCAAGATTTATCAATGCAAGGAGTAAATAGATACTTTCTGACCAGAAGTGCTATCATGGCATGAATTGTGTAAACTTTTCTTCACCATGATTCAATCTATTATAACACAGAGTATATCAATCATTGTTTCACATGGGGCCATATAGCTAGGCAATATCTATTGCTAAAGGCATCTTCTGTGGGTATGCAGACCTGATCTAATATATCACCTTCTCCTAAATGAGGTGAACGGCAGGGTATGTTATTATTTTGGGCAAAACAATGGAATTAGGATGCTTTGTAAAAAAACAACAATTTGGCACAGGCAGTTTGATGGCATGGATAACATTCTGCTGGGAAAGACTATGTCCTATCTTTTATATCATTTCTCATGTACTCAAGATCATTGAAGACCAGATATGTACAGCCCTTCACAGAAACAGTCTTTACAATAGCAATGACATCTTTCAGAGTACCCTGCCACACTGAACAATTTTTTCAAGAACATGTCAACTTCACTGTGTTGTTCTGCACACCAAATTTCTCAGATCACAATAACCTTGAGCACTTATGGAATGTGTTGGACCAAGAAGTTCATTCAGCAAAGCTCCATCATGAAACTTGCAGCTGTTAAACAACTGTTGTTAAGATTCTGCCAACAGATTTCCAAAGGAAATCTTTAGAGATCTTATAGTCTATGAATAATTGACTAACAATTGGTTTACAAGCATATGGTGAACCAACATATTATAGTGGTTATAATACTCTGGTTCATCAGTGTATTTGCTGTAAATTAATTGAGTTTTAAAAAAAAAATCCATGTATGGTTTACAGATCATATGGCTAACAAATCTGAAGTGAAATATAAAAATGAACAAAGCCATTTCTGACATAGAACATCAACTGCGTTCACAAAACATTACCAACAAATTCTTACAAATCATAAGAACATGAGAGGAAAGAAAAAAAAATCTAAAAAAACTGCTTAGTAAGAAAAAAAAGAAAAGAAAAAGGCACATTTTTTGATTACTGCCTTATTTAACATTTTTGATGACCACAACAATATTTTTTAAAAGTTGTACAAAGTAAATGAAAATAACAGAAACATTTTTTGTGACAGCTAAAATAGGAAGAATTTAATAAGAGAAATAACCAATTTAACAAAAAAGAAAATAATTTTAAATTAATACCAAATGCATGCTAAATTTGATGAACTACTAGAATGAGTCTTTTCCATATATGATTTTTATAAATCTTCTAATTATTTTCAGCACATTCTTGTTATCTCATTTCTATTGCTCTTATTTTAAGAAACAAGCTTCATGATTTGAGCTTACAAAACATTTGGGGTTAACTGAACAAATACTGACAATCCAGACAAGAGTAAATTATTTTCTATAGAATAATTATTTCATTTTGTTTATCTAAGTGATTACCTACACAGAATAATTATCATATTAGCAATTACTTCAAGGAAAGATATCAAAACTGAATTTTAAAAATCAACCATTGAGACATATTCTCAACAGTTTTTACTAAAGAATTTTTATCTTGTACAAATTTTTAAATATTAGTTAAAATAGCTAGAAAAATCACAATGATTTTAATAATTAAACCCATTTCAGCATATACAGTCATATTGAACTTGAAAATTCTCATAAGAGTCAATAGTGAGTTTCAAATTAGTTAAAGAAAAACCAAAAACAGTTAATACAACCTTCGGCAAGTACTTTTAAGATAATTAGCTAATATCTAATTAGTATCTTTTACTTTGGAATATTTTATATATTTTCTATAAAACGCTTGTAAATGTTTGCTTTTTATTAGAAAAAATATTTTTAATAGTGAAAAGATTTACTGTTAGTAAGAAACATAAAGAGAATCCAATAAGATGCAGATGGACTTTTGTAGCATTTCCCTTTTTACTCTAGAGCTAATTAATATTCTTCATTAGGTACTCAGTTTCAATTTAACAGCAAGTTGATTTTATACTAAGTAAAACCATACATCATTGGAAAACTGATCTATTCCACAACAGCCTGGCAACCACTTCATCCAGAAACATGGTTACTTCTAAGGATTCTGCATCTTATTTGACATTTCACCAACTCAACAAGGTGAGAATACAAATCTATATTAGACACAAATGCACAGTGTATATAGATGTGGATTCAATTTTTGTTTGACTATAGTCTTAATGATTTATTATGGACATAAATGTAGAAACAAAATTATTCAAAAGACTAAATTATTTCTACACATTACCATTTCATGGCATATTTAAATTTCTTTATAATCATTTTTTTAAACCTTCAATGAAGAAAAACATATTTCTTGATAATATTTATTTAACCCTTTTGCTTTTTTTGGCATATAGTATTTTAATCCACTGTTACTCATGTATAGTTACCCAGAGTTTGAATTATATTAAAACCAAAACTTTCAGGAGTATCAGATGAAAAACAGGTGAGGAGACATGATGCCTTTTGACAGATCTTTAGTTAAATTGGCAAAAAAATAAAAACACCAAAAATAAAATAAAAGGATTTGTTGGGGACATACTATAACAGATAAGTGTGTCTTAACTATTATATTTCTATATAAATTTTAACTTAACATGAGGCAGGATGAAATGTTTTCATAAAATCATGCCAAATCACCTGCTGTGTATTTGTAACTTATTCTTGTCAGGGATGGGTTGAGAGTCATGTTGATTGAAATTTTGGTCTACACAGAATGCTGCAATTTTTCAAACCTTAGAATTAAAGAATGGCTCTTTCAAAGCAATTTGTATGTTATTTAGACTTTTCAAAAATATGCACATTTAAAATGCATCAGGCACAGAACAGTGTTTTATGTGGTAATGATTGGATACAGACTACTTGGACCCCAACAGATCAAATGCATTTGCCTCAGAGCATTATATATTGGAATATGTTTTTTTCATGAATTCTAGAAGCAGATCAAATTTATTTTCACCACTTGTACAGATTAATGATCTGAAATTTTACAGATTAATAAGCTGATAAAGGTATTGATTTGAATATGAAATTTACATTTCTTTAAAATTGAGAAATGATCTTTTAAGATCATTCCTTAAATTCCCAATATATCCTATTTCATTATGTATGATTGCATATACATTACATTATTATTTAAACCTGTTAATTTTACTGCCTGCAATATTCAGTAAAAGTTCTTCTGTTTTGCGAATAAGGGAATTTCAAAGAGAAAATACCTAAAATTTTCAAACATTTTGTCCAGTTTCCAAAGAACAAAAATGAATCGAAAGCCCTAAGAAGTCTAATGATACTATGCATAAAATTAAGAGTAGTAGACAACCCATGGGACATGCTTATTTTAATTGTTGCTCCCACAGATAACTGAAAGGATCTGGGATATTGTTGAAAGCCAACCAAACAGAAACAGTAGACATAATGAGCAACAGATCCTCCTTAATGAGTTATAAACACTCAAATGGCAACACATGAAACTTTATGCAAATTTTAATGTTTAAAATTACAATATATTGATAAAGCATGTTTATGAGCTTAGGATATTTGATATAATTTTCCCCTATTCTACTGCCAAATTTCATTTTAAAATATAGACAAATATGATCACATTATCTATCATTAATTTGTTCATGGTAATGAACAGGCAATGGTTATAAATTAAAATCTTATATGGATACTGACAAATTCAAATATAAATGTCAATGAAGAAATTTAGACAAGTTTTCATCATAACGTTGCTTTGAATTAGCCAAAGTGCAATTATTTAGTAATTTTAGAAGGATAGAGACAAAAGAATTCAAGAGGGCTTTGCTTTGGTCTGGGGTAAGAGAAAGATTATGAGAAAGATGCAACCAGGTTTTGAGCTATCCCAGCATTCCATGTATAAATGCTATTAGGAATTTATAGCAGAATGGTGATATTTACCTCAATGATATCCTTGTTAGTCCTACTCTCATGAGGCTCATTGTATTCTGTGTACTTAAGAAGCACCTTATCCATATCTGTACTGGCATACTGGAACAGTTTGTTGGCACTGTTGAATATAATCAATGCTATCTCGCAGTCACACAAGACGCTCAGTTCATAGGCTTTCTTCATCAACCCAAATTTGCGCTTTGTAAATGTTACCTGGAAATGAAAAAAAGAAAAGAAAAAATAATCACAACAACTGTTTTACATTCATGAGGAAGAGATGCAACAATCCAAATGGGCACTCATAGATTCTGTTTTGTAAAAGAAATTTCCTTCATGTTTTATTAATTTTGGTCTATCTATAATTTGCATGACAACAGACCAACTGAAGAATCAAAAAGATTGAAATATTCAGTGTGTTCAGCATTTGATGAATGCTAACAAAAATAATACTAAACAAAGTACTTAAAAAATATGCGATTTTAAAGTTGACTAATTAAGATGAGATATACAAAAGAATAAAGCTAATGTGCATCTGCACATACAATGTTAAGAATTACTTAACTGATCCAACTAATATAGACAGCTGAGCATAGAAAGAACCACATATTACTTGAAAGTTTTTAATGGCTATCCAATCTTTATCTGTTCCAACATTTTGAAAGTTGTCACATCTGTCAAAACAAATAACAGATAGACACTGACATGCAAGAACTTTTCCAAAACACTGAACATGTTTATTGTTTAAATGAAAAATAAAATACTAATAAAACATCAATTGCCTAAAGAAGTTAAGCAAGCTAATCCAAAATATGAGGGTTAACATTCCTGATCTGTTAGGAAAAAAAAAAAAAAGAAAAAAAAAAAAGAGATCATACTTGAAGCAAATATGTCAGTCATTTTGACTAAAAATAAACATACACTAAGTTGTTTGAGATAGGAAATTCATTCTGGCCATCGGTCAACTAGTTTTGTTTCTTATTCTTATGCAGAAATTAAAGCAAAATTCTTTGAAGCAATCTCCCGGTTTTATTTCATAACTTTTCTTTTGGCACAATAAGTAGAAAACTAAACATTTTAACTTGCTCAAATCAATAAGTATTGCACTGAAAAATAACTTGATAACTATAAAAACAATTTCCTGTAACTTTGTATTTTGAATGACATAGCCTCATTTCTCCTTCAACACATCAATAAAGCTGAACGACAACAAAGAAAAGCAGTTATATCTTTTCTGACTTTGTCCTCTTAAAATTGTTATCCAGAGTAAAATGGGCTAAAAGAAAAAGAGTACACTCACACAAATACATGTTTTGCAAGAAATATAATAAATTTGAATCTATTGTATCAGAAGTTTTCAATGTTTAATCTCACATCTCTTTTGCTTTGATAATGTCTAAAATTGAAAAAAGAGCCTTGGTAATAAAAAAAAATATTTACTTATTCTTGCAGAAACATGCAAAGTCATGCATGAAGACTTTCTTGAACATGCTAATCTGGTCACTCATTTAACTTATAACTAAACTTTACATGTGTGAGAATTAGGATTTTCAGTGATCTCAGGTCTGAGAGCTCAAATCTTAAAGCTACTTACACAGAAATTCAAAGCATGTATAGAAACATTTTTCAAATGCACAAACACATTCCAAAACCTACAAGATATAAATACAACAGAAATCACTAGACATAAAATCTGCTACCATTTGGCTGATACTAATCATACTAAAAAGTTAGACTTCTCAGTCTGACCAGTTTCAACTCCTTTTTAACAGTTACCACTAACAATTGTTCAATGTCTTTCGACACCTTCCCGCCATTTTATACAAATATTTTGTCTATTGATTCTCATTAACCATGATTAATTTTGTAACTTGCATATCTATCAACTTTCTTTCAAACAGTTTTAGTATAGACAAAAGTCAATCAAGTAATAACAAAAAAAACAGCAAAGAAAACAAGACAATGACAGTGATCAATAGATGAAAGCAATCACCACCCCTTCCCTCCAATAAACACCTCATGTACAATAGTCATGTGATATTGATCTCGACTTGGCAGTTGGGATTACAAGCAACTGATTATGCTACAATCAAACTTTCCATGTAGAAGTGAATCTAGATAGCCAAAGCAGAACAGTCCACCATGTACAGAACCAAACAGACAATGGTATGATTATTTTACACCAATATGATCATCAATGACACTACTCGTTCTTGGCAGTTTCACATTTAATGTAAGCTATCATCACTGTTCAACTATGATAAGTGGCAACAGGGAGTTCTCTCTTTGAAAGCATCTATTTCATTACAAAAATAATTGGTATCATCACTAGCTAGTAGATTTTGATCCTTCTGCTGCTAATTTATCTTCATGTATGCAAAAAGTTACCAAAAATTCAGATAGTTGCGAAACTTATAAACTGGAGGCCTAAACCAATTCCTTTTGTAAGGAGTTCTTTACAAAAAATATGTATTATCATTTAGACAAATATTTAAAGAGTTTATTGAAATGCAACAAACACTGATAGCATTCACTGAAATCAATCAAGTAATTCTCAAACTGATAAACTTTGTAATTCTTTTAAAAAAAAATTTTGCATTCATTTTCACAAAAAAGTAAAAAATATCTATTGCTAATGACTGCAAAATAAAGTTTCATATGAATTTAGACAAAACATTATCTTATAACAGCAGTTTATGCATTTGGAATATAAAAGGTTATACATCAATGTGAGTGAAATAAAGCATGAAAAAGTCATGCCTTAAGGGCCTAGTATCATTTTTTTTTTTTTTTTTTTTTTTTTTTTTTTAAAATCACCCACAAAAACAACTTGGATTCTATTTTTTTTTGACTTATTCAGCTCTAAACAAAAATTTTGAAAATTCAGAACAAACTGTTACAGGAAAAGATAAGAGGAATTTAATAATATTCTATTAAAAATATTTCATTAAAGCTAAATATAAAACTCTAAGTTATGACTTTGAGCAAAACAGAAAGTTAAAACAACATTCTAATTTCTAATGTTAAAAAAATACTTTTTTTTTTTCTCTCTCAGAGGGAACTTTTCATATTTTTTCCTTTTCATTCTCTTCTGAAAAGTTGACTGCTACTGCTTCCTTTCTTGCTTGAAATTTCATTTTGGCAATTCAGTTTTATTGTTCATCAAAGCAATGCCAGAAGTTATAAAGAAAAAGAAAACATAATTTATACTCAAAGACAGCCAGGTGCTTCTGGAGTAATAATGATATAAATTCGTTATGCACGCACGCACACAAACTCAAGTAGTTATGGTGGTAAACAATCATGTACATACATTTACATGTTTGAAATTATGACTGGAGGCTAAATAGATAAATAAAAGAGAATTTCTACCAATTCCTGAGCATTGATTTATAAGCAGAGAGTAAGAAATTAAGGAATGGGTGTGCGGGCCAAGGGTGACACAAGTAATTAAATCAATTCATTAGAACCTTTGTTGTCAGTCCCACCTTCAAGTGAAGCTAATCTAAAAAAAAAAAAATTCTAAAATGAAATAAAAGAAAAATTAACACTAAAGTGAAAATAAATAAATTCAACTTCTGAAAGGTTTTACTTCAACTTCTAGCCCAATTGGACACAGGAATGCACAAAAATGAAAAAAAAAAAAAAAATTCTACAGGCCAAAACAGATTTCATGAGAAGGGGATAGGGGTGGCAGGTGACAGAAAATTTTCCATTCCTTAAAAATGGCTGGGGGCAAAAGGAGTTCCTTTTGATTTTTCCATTCACTCAGGCCAAACACATACAATGACTAAGTTGGCCCATTAACTTATGTATGGAAACTCTACACTTATACAAAGGAAAACAAGAAAAAATGGGTTTTGTACATCACCATAATTTTTTATCACTGATTATTTACAACAGTTTGTTTTGAAAATCAAATAGTCTATATATGTTTGGCATTTTATTTTTGCAGAATAAAAGTTGTCTCTTTCATCTTCCCTACAAGACATCTTTCCTGAATATTACCGTAAAAGAATTTACTGCAATATGTATTCCTGTTGAACTCTTGTGTAAAAAGAAACTGTTTCTCATGGAAATCCAATGGATGGAATAGACTCTTTTTATTAGTGATGTTCAAATTTGTTTATTTTTTCCAAAGCTGAAATGGTGTTCATCAAAATATGAACAAATATCTGATGAAGATTCAGAATTGGAATGATTTTTATTTTCCAAATAATTTTAACCTTATTGACAACTCTAGTTTTTAACAACTTTTCATAATCATCTTCATTAATTTTCACTTTATAACGAAACATATTTTGAAAGCAATCACTTTTCTTTATCAAGTAATTAAGAAATTGATGGTTTCAGCTATTTAAAAGTATTAAATGACTTAATTTTTAGAAATATTGATTAGCCACTTTGGATTATCTCTCCACTATGCACACACACACACACTACTGTTAGGTTTGAATGGCTATCACAAAGAATTAATTTTATCTGTATCAAGCAAAAAGCTATATTAATGAAATGTAAGAAAACTGACTGACATTGAAATAGCAAACAAAAAACATGAGCCTTTCTTTTTTTTGACCAGGATGCATAAAGAATAATGAAAGGTAAAGAGAAATTTTCTTCCTGAAAATAAAAACTACCAAAAGCAAAAATTCTTACTGGTTATCTTAACACATTAAAAAAAAAAAATCTCCTAGTGTTATGTTACCTTTAAATAAGTAAACAGACACAATACATTTTAATACATTGCATACATATTTCATACACTAAGCATAACAATATATTACGAAAGAGGAGTAGTGTTCTCTATAAACTACACACAGCATATGAACACAAATTTTAATACCAAGCAAGAATTTGTAAAATTTCAGATATAAAAAGAATTAAATATTTTATGATCAAACACCTTTTATACTATCCTTTCTTTAAGTGGAATTATTTGATTGTAAATCTATACAAAGATTATGATGTGTACAAATTGGTGCATAAGCTTGACTGTCCACCAAAAACTCATCTCTTCACAAACTAACCTATTTCATAAAATCTAAAACAAAACAAAAAAAAAAAATCAATGATTGAAAGAGAAATTA